GGGTTCTCCTGAAACTCATCGGGGACTCACAACGAGGCTGCGTGCATGGCAGGCGGATGTTAAAATTGGTGATGATGATGCTATCTCAGCTGGCCACTGCGGCGCTGGACGAGGATTTGGACGCAGTAAACAGTCGGGTCATTCTCTTGCTCGAATTTTGTAAAGCGTATGACACTGTGGATAGGTATTTGATGTATGAAGCGCTGCGACAGTTTGGGTTTGCTGAGCGCTATGTTCAGCTCACCGCCCGGCTATTTACTGGAACAACCCGTTCATTCCTTGTCAACTGGGAGCGGTCCATTCCCATTCCCATTGTCTCAGGTATTCGCCAAGGTTGCTTGCTGGCCCGGTTGATTTTTCTCATCGTCTTCGAGCTCTTAGGCATAGCGGTGCAGCAGACACCGGACTTAACAGGGCTCCCAATGACGGGTTGTGGGACAGTTCGACACACATTCTCCGCGTATGTAGATGACTTAACATTCTTTCTGAAGAAAGGGAATCAGCTCGGGCCGGCGCTCCACCTCGTTTCTTGATTTAATTGGGTCTGCAAGACCAGCCGACAAAAAGTAACCTGATATTTTCTAATAGCGCGGTGCGCGTCCAGGACTTATACGGCATCTCGGTCGTCCAGCCAGCGGATACAATGAGGTATCTAGAATACGAGGTCGAGACTGGAAATTTACAGCATCGCAATCGGGCGCTTCGCATTAGGAAGCTACAATCGAGACTGTTCACGGCTGTCAAAGTTTATACTAGCGTGCAGCATCGATTTTTGATTTTAAACTACATCATCCTGCCTTAAGTACTTATTACGGCCGCATTGTTTTATATCCCGGAATGGGCAAGAAAAGCAATTCAGAATTTGTACAAACGTTTTTGTGGGCCCGTGCCACCTACACGGACGCGCGGCGCCACAAGGTCAATCCTGGACGGATCTTCACACCCAAAAAGGCAGTGGGAGTCGGGCTCGCCTCTTTCGAGGTCGCCATTAAAACACAGCGAGCTAAACATGCGCTGCAATGGCTCACGCAAGAAAATGATAAATATTTCTGCTCGTGGCGTTTCTGGGGTTTATCAAGGTCGACCACACCTTCTGGGATGTTACTACACGAGAGGCCTCGAAGAGGGGGGCGTGGTCGGCTTGTTTGGCTAATATATCAAAATATTTGGTTGCGAGTGATCTGGACAAGCTTCTTGAGCCCACAGATGAGCAAATGGAGCGTATCCGGGCCCAGATGACTGAGCACGTGGCACCCTTGCTTCGTGGCGCCGACAGCTGGTGGGACGGGGACGAATGTATTTTGTCGTTTCAGCTTCGCTTTCCAGATGCAATAGCTGCCCAGGATCATCTCTTGCACGTTATCTATCAATTTTGGGGTACGTTTGGATGGTTCAATAACCCCTGCATACGGGACGGGCGAGTACTTCAATTAATCATCTCCAAATTCGACAGGATCGTTGCTTGTTCTATCTCGGACGTACACGTCCATCAGACGAGACATGTAGAGTTTACCTTCCGCATTCCTCCTGCGGGACTGTCCTATTATCACCACTCACTGTCTAAATTACGGCGATGGGCAATGGCTATCCTTCTGGCGTCTCCATCTTTCATTAAGACTGAGTTGGCGGTTGCGCCTCCATTAAGGTTGCGGCATACACCTTCATTTCGGTACGATTACGACTGTTCAACGGTGCGGCGGGGCCACACAGTTCGGACCTTGGCGGGGTCTTAAGAACCTTTCGGATGGCCGGGTCCACCTGCGGCAGGGGGCCGACGGATTCCGTTGGTTCTTCCTTACGCAGCTAATAGAGCTGGTCCCGGCCCTAGTTGATGGGTGCTCACCCTCAGCCGAATTTCTACAGTTGAACGGTGCCGTATTTTACGCCCGTCCCTGCCATCACCGGTTTTCCATGGTCGGCAGCGGGGCGCGTCGCGAATAGTTCCCTTCGGAGGACAGTCTTTCGCCGTGAGTTTTAGCTTTATAAACTACCGTTAGCGGTTGCATTACGGCCGCTGTTGCGGCGTATGGAAGCCGTAGTAAGTACGGATTCAAGGCAGCGGGCAGCCGCAATCAGAGTCCGTCCCAGGTGTGGCGTCACGCACATGGATTTACGAATCATCAAGTTTGGAGGTGCTATCGGATCGCTACCAAGCAGCTTGATATATATCAGCGGGTAGGCAAGATGACAATAGTTGCCGTGCATCGCCGGGGTGTCACTTTGTCAAGGATTCTCCGGATCACATCTTCTGGGACTATCGGAAGGCGCGCGCATGTTGGGGCAAATTCCTTCAGCACTGGTCAGGCGTCACCGAGACCCCTTTAGGGGACACGAGTCTTTTGCTCAGCTGCGCTACTAGACGAGCTCCTGCGATACCGGCACGGCAGCGTCATCGGCTGCTTAAACGTTTTTAAGGCGATCTCGATCCCGCGGTTAAGGGCTGGAAGCGAATCTTGTTTCTTATGTGTACTATTTTCCTCACTCAGCTATGGAATGAGCGGAACGACGCTGTGAATAGAGGAGAGCAGACCACAGTAACTGACAGTGTCGCTCTTTTCTGGGCGCACGAGATACGTCAACTTACGGCGTTGGTGAAGCGGGACCATCGCGGTCCGGATACAGTAGTCTGAGGGGCGGTATTGCATGTAAAGGGGTGAGCCCGTTACATAAAAATTGGTATGAAAGTTCTTATTTTTGAACATTATATTTTTGACGATATTCAATCAACATCACTCGAAATGAGTGATGTTGTCGGATTATTATTGCTAAGGATAATATCCTTGGAGGGGTCCACTTCTCGGTTGATGTACGGTGTACATCAACCAACTCAACCACCAATCGCTGCTGGACGCGCGCAATGGGTGGTGAGCAAGGGACCCACATAGGAGAAGATATTTAATGTAGTTAGAGTAAGTCAAAAGATCATTTATTAACGTGATAAATATTTAAAATAAACAGTTCTACTTTTCCCTCAATACAGAGATTTCGGGCTCTGTTTTACCTACTGCTTCCTCGGTTGCCCTGTGTACGCTTGTCGGGAACACGTCACCCTTGCGTTAAGTTCACGCAATGGGTGTTCCCCGTTACATTGCACGCCTGCCTGGGCTTATTTACTCTTGAGCCGAGGAGGTTCCCGGTTGCTCCTGAGGTCAGTCACGAGAGTTCACCGTCACTGGTGCTGTTTTCCTGGCTCCGGAGCTTTCAGACATCTTGTACTTAATCTTATGTGATAGACCGTCATGAAATCTCGACGTTAGTGGGATCACATGGCACACGAACCCATACCTTGATTGCGCCATCAAAATGTACCACCCTTACACAAGCCATATATATAACTGAATGTTTTCCACGATTTTTTCGGTTTTAACTAATTGTTTACAGGCGATAAAAATTCGACAGGTGATCATATTTCGCGTCTCCATTGTGCAAGAGCAAGAAGCGGTTGCCATCAAGATTCTGGAGCCACACTTTCGATAACATTGGTAAAATCAAACTTCCTACGAAAACAATTTTGCAGTGACTTTCTTATCCGAGGCTTAAGTGACTATTCGGAATTGTCTGCGCCCCTGCAGATCGCTCGTGTTGTTTAACAAACATATCTGGAATACCTGAATCGTCGAATCACGTCATGTCTAAGTTTTTTATGTATGTCTAACATGGTGACCACTTAGAAAGGTATGTTCGGTCTTGCGCCGCGGGGGTTGAAAGAGTAAAGGCTGACGTCATGCGTCGGTCTGTGATTTCCACCAAATTATATCTGCACAATTAACATGACTCCTATTTTGTGTGACGCACCTGTGACGCTTCCTCTAAACTTCTTCCAATTTTTGAGGCCATGTTCCTTGTGTAATAGGGTGAGCTGTACAGCTTGTCTTTCTATCTTTCTGTCACAATATTATTACCATCTGGGAGAACATCCACACTTGCAGTACAGTTGATGCCAAAGTCACGTGCGCCTTTCGTTTGTCTCATCAGTAAGAAATCGATTGCATTCTACAACGTTAGCTCTAACCTGCATAATAAGCGCACATGTATACAAACAAGGCTAACATAAATCTGCTGGAAGTGGTCGGATTATAGCAATGGACGTCCACGTCGTTTGGAGCTTAGACGACCCCATTTAGTAGTGCAGAGAAACAAAGGCGCGCTGACATCAGTGTGCCACGCCGATTGACGAGGTGGGTGAGGTGAAGGAGGCGGCGTCAAAATAAAGTTAGTTGTAACCTACAGGAGTCTAACAGCGTCACAATCTTTTGCCACGACATGTACAAGGTCAAGAGACGCGGCCTTTACTTATTCGTAGTATCGTATAGCCGCATTCTTCCGTTCGAAAACGGACGACAGGCAATTCGCAATGTGGTAGAGTGAAGCGGACGCTTTCTTCGCTGTATTTGGTGACGCGACCAATGTTGCGATGTCTACATCGCAAGTGTGTAAGTCTATCACGCTTCGCACAGGACGCACTGCACGTAGCTACTTGCGTTGCACTCGTTTCGTGACCGAGCAGGTACAAGGCGAGCCAAAAATTTCCCAGATGACCGTCAAGAAGCTCAAACACTATCCTTGCGTATAGCTTCGAGTGATCGGCGATTCACACAGTTGACGCACTTCTGCAAGCAGCTTGCGATCGCCGCTGCATGCCAACTGCCAGCGCAAGACGTCCGATACATCAACATCGGCTGCTCCAATGGTCTGAACTACATCTTGTAAAAACCACCGATCCTGGCTTGCACACAATGCCGCAAGGACATTTGAATATAGCGGTCGCTGAACATTTGGTCCCATGTGCACGTCCCGAAAAGTCGAGGTTGGCACACACAGTCCAGTGCGAATAGAGCGAAGAGCTTTAAAGCAGTGTCACCGTCACGTCGGTTACCGGCCGCACCAAGCACTGCTTACTGTGTACATCATGGCGTATTCGCGGAAGTGGCCACAAAATATCACCCGATCACACACACTGTACTGTGCTCTCGGCTGCTGCATTTACTAAGCTGTCGTCTTCATTCCTTCTTCTTCGCGCGCGACCGCGTGACCGCTGTCTGCATCCCCACTTTCACCGCCCCGAGCAGCACAAACACATTGGCCGACAAGACGACAATCCACTTGGCACGCGCAACGACACTCACTACGTTTTCGAGCGTCTCGCACCGCTGTGGGAACCGCCGCAAGAGCTGCAGAATCGACACGTTCTCCACCACGTCACAGAGCGCGGCGACGCCCGGCAAATACGCGATCAAGAGCCGGTCGGGCCACGAGCGACGCAGCAGTCCACGTAGCGCCGTCGCGTAGATCACCGGGAAGAGCAGCAGGTCAAACAGGTAATAGTCCAAGTAGAGCGCGCGGCCCGAGACGCCTAAGCACTCCAAGTGCGGGAAGATCGCGTCGGGCAGCAGCCACAGAACACGATCGAGGACGCCGCTACACTGGGGCGGCAGTTCACGCGCCCACTGCTTCTCCAGGAGCACCAGCAGCACCAGCGACGGCACGAGCGCACCTAACGCCGCCGCAAATACGTGCGACTCGATCGTCATAGCGAATAGTGGGACATCGGTTGATTATGTGCGGCACGTAAACCCTGTGCAAACCGATGAATGACAATGTATCGCTACGCAGCGGCGATGACAGGCGTATCAGGTTTCGCAGTTGCGCATCTCAGCACGAAGGTCCGCGCTGGCGACGTGCGTGTATTTGGTTGTCGCGGCTCTGCGGCGGTGCGTCATGGCCCCCGTGGTGCCCCCCGCGGCCGCAGCGACGCGCAAGCGCAGTCAGCAGCAGCAACAGGAGAAAGACGACGTCGGCCGACAGCATTCAGTGCCGCGGCTGAGTGTCGTGCCGGGGAAGCGGCGACGCTCGTCGGCTGCAACACTTGGCGAGCAAGAGCTGACAGTTGAAGAGCAAAACCGGCCGCTTGGTGAGCAAAAGCTGACAGTTAGCGAGCTTGAACCGACGGTGGGCGACCGTATGTGGACAGCTGGCGAGCCAAAACAAACAGCTGGCGAGCCAAAACAAACAGGTAGCGAGCCATCGGGGGCAGGTGGAGAGCCTTGTGTGACAGTTGGCGAACAAAGACCTACAGTTGGCGAACAAAAACCTACAGTTGGCGAGCAAAAACATGCAGTCGACGAGGATCACTTGTGTCTCCCGGACGGCGCCCCTCAGAACGAGCTGTTTCTTGTGTCGATCAAGACCATTGAAGATCTGGATGAGAGCGTCGATGTTGCGGCGGAGGTGAAGGCAGTGGATCTGGTGCTGCAGCAGCTGCAAGAGCAGAAGCGAACGACGATCGACGACGTGGACGTGGCGTGGGGCCACGAGTTTGCAGCGCTGGATTCCCTTCGACGGTTTGCAAAGCACCATCAGGAGCAGGCACGACGGCAGTTGTACGAGGAGTCGATGGCGTTCTTTGCTTGTGGTCTTCTTCTTTTCGGTGCGTGCTCGAGCAAAGCGGGTGTAAACACTAATGCCACCGTGTGACCGTGCGATCGGCTTTTGTTGTTGTTGTTGCTGCTGCTGCTACAGGAAGAATGATGTGCTGGTGAAGTTTGTTCTGCCAGCAGCGTTGAGTTTGCGCTCGATCATGGCCAGAAATGCGCTGCTGTGCGTGCAGGAGCTCATTCTTGGGCTCAAGGTCGAGGCGACGGCGCACTTTAGTGTTGTAGTACCTGTGCTACTGAACCGCGCGTGCTCGAAGAAGCAGTTCTTGAGAGATCTGGCAAGAGACGTGTTGGACACGGCGCTGCGAGCGGGAGCTGATGAAGCGTTTCTGCATCCGCTCATGTCGACGGCTACGACCGAAAAGAACGCGCAGATTGTCGGCGTAGTATGTGGTGACAAGCAGGATCCCTTTGGTAGACGGTTGTACGTTGACTGATATGGCTTTTTGTCGGACAGGCTGGTGTGTACATGACCAAGTGCGTCGTCCGTATGGACCGCGCACACTTGCGCACGTTTGTGCTTGAGACGCGGAGTTCTTTTTTCGACGAAATGGCAAGTTTTCTGAACTGTAAGGCGGTAGAATGCAAGACAGCTACGCGCCGAAGCTGTCAGCACACGCGCCGAGTCATTGGGGTACGACACTTGCATGATCGATGCGACTGCGTTGCGACTACTTGGCCCGTATCCTCATTACTTGGCATTTACCCTCGTTTGCTGCCACTGGATTGCTGTTGTAGGACGAGACATTTGTCACACGAGCCAAGGAAAAGCTGAGGGGCATAGCGCTATCAGACGTTTTGAGGGCCTCGGAGACTCGCAAGGCAGCGGAGCCTGGCCACGCGAAATTGAGCATTCGTGAACGTGTGCTGCAGATGAAGAAGCAGCAACAGCAGCAACGACAGCGAAGTGAGGGAAACGACGTGTCGGACCCTGTTGCTGCAAGCCTTTATGACAAGTCGTCGTGAAGCCAGGTGCACTGTCATTGTGACCACTGCACGGTGCGGACTGCTATGCTCAATCTTTATGGTAGCTGTAACTCGTGCGTTTTCCGCATCTCTGCCATTTTTGTGCCGAGCGTATGAAGGAGAACATATCGTCAGGAGGCATTGATAGCTCTATTTTGATTGATATGCGGTCCATGTCGAAGAACGAAGTAGTGCTTCGCTGGACCTCTGTCCGTGCACAGCTGATATTTGCGTCACTGTTGGCGACGGTACGCTGCCGGTACAAAAGAAGCCGTGCAGGATGCTATTTGCGGTCATTCTGTTGTCGCGTTGCGCTGCGGGTGGCTATTCGTTTGCATGGGCGCGAAAGTGACATTCCCGCGCTGGAAATGTCGTGAAGTGCACGACTTCGGCGCATATTCATCGAGAACGACAACGCATCTGGGACTGACGGTTCTCGGCAACGATCAGTCCAGAAAGCGATGTCCACGTTGGAAAGCAGCAACGAGGCAGCATTGACGCAAAGCTGTAATTTCCTGGTTACCCATCAGATATCGCGCCTGTCCAGCCCGAGTAGCCATTTCGTCGATGGGGCATAGCACGCAACATAGACTGACTGGAATACGCCGCTGACTTCTACCTGTCACGTACAACACACGCCTGCAAACCTGTCCGGAGCTCGCTTCTGATGAGGTGCAAGCCGATAAAGACCACCTGCGACATCCGCTTTACCGTGCCATTGCGCTCTGCATCAGTCCAGCGTTCTTCGGATGCATACACCTCAAACAACTCGTGCACGGCCTGCAATATGAACTTGTGGGGTTCGCCTGCAACTGCAAGTACACCTTTGATGCGAAACAGCTGTTGACGTCCAGCTGCATCCACGCCTGCTGCTTCCCTCTCACTGTCCTGTTGCCAAAGCAATTCCCCAAGCCACCTTTCTAGTTTATCTTGATCCAGCGGTCCATCCGAAATCCGCACACACGCAGTCTGCATACCCCCCGTGTGCGCCGTGCGGTCATCGTGCTGCCCGTCTTCCCGTCGCTGATGGCCCCGCTCGTCCTCGTCTTTGCCTTGATGCAGCAGCGTCTGCAGCTCCCTCTCCACTTGCTCCACCTTTGTCGTAGTAAAGCTCTTGATGTTCAGAATGTCGTCCAAGTCCACTCGCGACCGCTCTGTCCACCGCACGTGTGCCACGCCATTGATCGCCTTCACCCGACGCTCAATCCCCGCGCGCGTCTCGAGCTCCTGCACCAAGTCGCCTTTGTTCAGCAAGATCCGGTCCGCGTACGCCACTTGCGCAGCCACCTCTTGCTGCGTGTCGACATGGTCCAAGTGGAACGCCAGCCGTCGCGCGTCCACGAGCGTCACAATGCCGTCCAGAACAATGCGTCCCTCGAGCTCGTCGTCCACCCAAAAGATACTCGCGACCTTCCCGGGGTCGGCCATGCCCGTGGTCTCGACCAAAATATAGTCAAACCGGTCGCGCTGCTCCAACAGCTTCTCGAGTGTATTCACGAGATCGTCGCGCACGGAGCAGCACACACAGCCGTTGCTGAGCTCGTAGAACCCGTCCAGCACGCGCCCGTCGGCGCCGCTCTTGGCCACGAGCTTCTCCACGCCAATCTCGTCGCCAAACTCGTTCTCAATCACCGCAATGCGCTTCCCGTGGTCGGCCGACAGGATGTACTGCAGCAGCGTCGTCTTGCCCGCGCCGAGGAACCCCGTGAGGATCGTCACGGGGATCGTCGAGAAGTGCGCGCGGTCCTGCGGCGCGAGCACCGGCAGCGGCTCGTCGTCGTCGTCGGGCCCCGTTGGCATGGCGACGTGCGTACTTTGTGGCCGTCTCGTGCGTACTTAACACCGATAGGAGCGACCCTGGGGTGACCGGGGTCAATTGTGGTGTGGCAGTGTGTGGACGTGTGTGTGCACCACACGACGAAACGAAGAGCTCCGGCGCGAGATCTCGCGAGAGATCGAAAACCGACAGACAGCGCGCGAGCGACTGTTGCAACTGCTGCCATAACTGCTACTGCTGCTGTGCAATGGTCAAGAAAGTCGGTACGTCTGCTGGCACCTCTCCTCTCTCTCTCTCTCTCTCTCTCTCTATCTCTCTGTCTCTCTCTCTCTGCGTGTGTGTGTGTGGTAGTAGTAGTCGATGGGGGTATTGACGCTCGTTACGGTGGTGGATCGTGGGTGGGTATCTATTTGAGCAAACAGGGAAGTACGAGATTGGCAAGACGCTGGGTGAAGGCACGTTTGGAAAGTGCGTCTCTGTCTCTTGGTTGACGTGACACGTGGGTGGACTATACAGAGCGTGTGCTGATTTGCGAGGATGCTGCTGGTTTTGGTACCTGTGTTGCGTATAGGGTCAAGTACGCGGTGAATACAGAGACCGACGAGCGCGTAGCCATTAAGGTCCTGGACAAGGAGAAGATACAGAAGCAAAACATGGGCGCGCAGATCAAGAAGGAGATCTCGATCATGAAGATGGTGCGCCACAAGCACGTTGTCGTGCTCAAAGAGGTGCTAGCGAGTCGCACGAAGGTTTGTTCAACTGCAGTTTTTCGTCACACAGAACAGAGCGGTGCAAAAGCGACGAGTTGACCTGCTTGTGTGCAGATTTTCATCGTGCTAGAGCTGATTACGGGGGGCGAGCTCTTTGACAAGATTGTGAGCGAAGGAAGGCACGTTGTACACAGTGTTGCAAGAGCGACGACATAGCCCAGTAGCGTTGACGCAATGTGTGGACTCACATGGTGTGTCTGTCTGTTGCTTCTGCACTGTTTCCGACCATAGGTTTAGCGAAGAAACCGCCCGCTTTTACTTTCGCCAGCTCGTGGACGGCGTGCAGTACTGCCACGAGAACGGCGTGTGCCATCGTGACCTGAAACCGGGTCGGTGTTGTCGCTTTTTGTTCTTTCGCTATCTGCACTGCAAAGATGGACGGTGATTAATCCGAAACTGCTGCAGAAAATCTGCTGCTGGATGAGAATGGAGATCTGAAGATCTCTGACTTTGGGCTCTCGGCGCTGTACGAAGGCGGAGGTCCAGATGGCCCGGAGAGCTCGCGTGCGTCGCTGTTGCACACGACGTGTGGAACGCCTAACTACGTTGCTCCTGAAGTCCTTGCCGACAAAGGATACGACGGACGTGCCGCTGATGTCTGGTCGATGGGTGTGATATTGTACGTGCTACTCGCGGGCTTTCTTCCGTTCGATGAGCCAACGATGTCAGCACTGTTCCGCAAGATTCAAAAGGCCGAATTCTCGTACCCGAGCTGGTTCACGCCACGCGTGAAAGCGCTGCTGAACCGCATACTTGTGCCTGACCCCGAGACGCGTATTGCGATCAAGGATGTCTTGCAAGACGAGTGGTTTGTGAACGCATGCGCCTCTAACGAGCTTGCGACCCAGACGACTGGCCCGGAAACGATTAGTGCGGAGATGGCAGCTACTCCTGTGCCGGGCCCGATTGACCGCATGACCATCAAACCGAGCCAGGCCGATTTGGATGCAGCCATCCTGGAGCACCAGGATGAGGTGAATTCCGGCAAGAAGGACAAGTTAGATGGAGGCCTGAAAGTACTGAATGCGTTCGATCTGATCAACATGTGCGGCGGTGTGGCGCTCAACCGAATGTTCCAGAGCAATGACGAGAAGCGGGTCAAGCGGGCAACACAGTTCACATCGACTATCCCGGCAGCGAGCATCATGACTCGCCTGACGGGCCACTTGGAGAGTCTCCACTGCGAGATCAACGTGGAAAACTCGGCAAAGGTGAAGGCGGTGTTGCAGACACCTAAGGGTGCAGTCGGCGTAGTGATTCAGATCTTCATTCTTGCGGACAGCCTTCACCTGGTGGAGGTGCGTCGTGGCAAGGGTGACATTTTCGAGTACCACAAGTTCTACACGCAGCTGAACGAGCAGATGAAGGACCTCATCGCGGCCCCTGGCAGTAGCTAGGCGACAACAGCAGATGAGCGTAAGGTCGACCCGATGGCAGGATCGTGCAGCACGGGTGGCTTATCCTGCAGGTCAATTCCGTTTTTCCTTTCCATCCTTCTTTCCTCGCTTGTAGTGAGAATATACAAACGACACGCTGTTGTCTTGTGCTCTTTGCATGCATGATGCTCATCGGATATTATGCTCGTTATCGACAGACGTCGTGAGTGCAATTGCTCGAGCACGTGTCCAAAGTATGTCAAACGACGACTTCCGACTCACTGAATTTCCCACGCCCTGCACTGCCAAGTCCCTTGCCAATGCTTTCGCCAAGGGCCAGTCCGCCAATGGCAGACATAATGGACGAGCCAGCGGACGAGCTGAGAGCGCCCAGCGCACCCTGGGATATCATCGACTGCATCTTCTGCTTGGCGTCCTTCTTGCATCTCGTGTAGCCAATGATGTTGGCGCCGCTCAAGGCCACAGCAACCACGACAATGAGGGCCCACTCGACGTTAAACTTGAGCACCGCAACAATCAGCAGCGCGACCCAAAGCGCTGGCGCGCCGTAGAGTCCCGTCCAAAAAACGCGCGAGTCCAGCGGATCGATCTCCGTCATGACTTCGTGGGACTCAAACACCCACTCGCTCGTGCCATCTTCGTCAAGCTTGTTCCACCAGCGCAGCCCTACCAGCAGCCGGCCCGTAACATTCTGCATATCGATAAAGGAATCATCTCCTCGTTAGTAGTACGTGGCGGATGAACGTTTTTGACATTGCAACAGTCACCATCCCACACGCACTTTGACGGTCCAAAAGTCAAAAGCCAAGAGCAAGATGCACACGACAAAGATGAAGACAAAGTTGCTGATGAAGATGCTGCCAAAGAGGTACAAGAACAACGCGAGCCCCTGCAAGAGTAGAAGCACAGCACAAAACGCAGTGTCAAAACATAGTCGTCAGTCCTGAGATCCCACATCTCGAGCTACTAAACAAGTCACTGACCTTGAAAAACAAGTGGAAAAACGCTGCAACGGGATGCTTGGCACGCGTCACTGCCTTCTGGATAGACGTGAACCTGTGCAGCATACAAAACGCCAGTCAAACACAAACAGACCCGGTAGTACTCCTTCGTAGCCGTCGTTCTGTACGCACAGCGCTTCTTTGTCGCTAGTTTTCGCGCTGGTAGCTGCTGCAGTGCTTGTGGTCTCTTCTGTCGAGGCCACGTTGCTCGTCTCGGGCTCGACGCTGATGAACGCGAGCTCTTCCTGCGGCTTCTTCGGGTCCTCTTCGGCCTCCATCATCTTCGCCGACTTTGTCAGCGGTAGTGGCGTTCAAAATGAATTTTGATTGCACGAAAGTAGTTTCAACCAATCAAACGCTAGCACACGCAACCGCATGGTATTTCGTTACCCGAGCCCTATTTCGTCTTGGACACTTGGATAATGGAGCTCTTCGTGTGGATACACGAAATGACTTCAGCAATAAACGGCGCGACAGACAGCGTCACGATCTTTGGCGCCATCTCGTTCGTGTTCATGTGCATGGGAATGGTGTTGGTCGTCACTAGTTTGTCCAATTCCTTGCACTCCTGTAGCGTTTGCACGGCCTGGACAAAAAAGGCAGGAAAAAAACACATACACAACACCACGTCAGACACGTCACAATCTTCTTGCTCGGCCGATACCAACATGCCCGATTCGTATCGACGCAGTTGCGACGTACATGAGCAGAGTAGCGAGCGTGCACTGCGAAAGCTGACACAGTCCTAGCGCCATTGGCCTTGAGCAGTTTGGCGGTTTTCGTCAAAGTGGACCCAGTGTCCACGAGCGTATCCACAACGATGCAGTCCTTGCCTTTGACGTCACCCACCAGCTCGCCAGGTTGATCCTCGTCGAGCTGGTGTTTGCGGATCACGAACGCCAATGGCACAAACTCGTCGATTGTGCGCGAGAGAGTGTCGCGGAATGTAGCGGCTCGGTTGACAGCAGCCGAGTGCGGCGCTACGACAATCGGTTTACCCAGCGTTTGCTCCGAAAAGTATACGGCACCTACAGGAAAAGCCCGGAGATTGTCCACCTGACAATGATACATGAAACAATGTTAGCACAGAGCGAGTCAAACCAGCATACATATGCACAGAGTGCAGGCTGCCGTACTGGGATCTGCGGCTTGAAAAAACCTTCGATCTGCGCGCTGTGAAGGTCCACCGACACGACGTGGTCAACGCCCATAGTTTCAAGCATGCGTGCAATATCCTAAGCAGCACACCAGGACCAGAAAATGAGCACGAGCTTGTGATAGTAGCAGATTAATGTGTCGTACGGCAGCAGCAATTGGCTCACGGCCCTTGTGCATCAAATCCATTCGCGCGTAGCCGTAAAACGGGATCACCGCTGTGATTTTCTTGGCAGAAGCACGACGCATGGCCGCGATCGCCAGCAGGAGCTCCATCAACCTATTGCATTCATTCCAGGCAAAGCATCACAGCAACGAGCGTTCGTATCAACATCTACCGCAATGTCGACATTGACTTCAATCTGTCGACAAGCTCACGCACCGATCCACTGTGGTCGTCGAGCTCACAATGTAGACGCGTTTGCCACGCACGTTCTCGTTGACAATCACACTTGTCTCGCCGTCGTTGAAGTTCTTGACCTCCATGTCGTTCAGTTTAACGCCCAAGTACGTTGCAATCTCGTCAGCAATGGGCGTATCAGCGACTTTAAAGAGCTTCATCGACTTGGCGGCACTGGGGTTCAACTTGCCCTTGTAAAAGTGCCAGTGCCGCGTCGTCGTATTGGGGAACCAGTTGCTCGTCAGTGGCTGCCTCGTGTCCACTCCTGCGTCCGATAAGGCCGTCGAGCGCTCGTAACGAGACGTGAAACTGCCACCGACGACGCCCGAGACACCGGCGGCAGCCAGTGCGAAGGCCCTGCGGGACGCTGCGCTGCGCTGCGACCAGAAGCGGTTCGCCTATAGCATCACGTGGCATCAACATAGACAGAAAGGTGTACAGAGAGAGTAAGTGGTGTGTGTCCGCTGTTGCTCTCATCGACACGAGCAGTGGTCGAGTGAGAGTAATGCCATCCGAGTTGCTCCCGTCTTCCGGGGTGAGCCGCACCATTGGAAGTGGTAGTTGCTACTTCACAAAAACAATTCCACCTCTGATAAAAATAAACCCAACCAATCGAATCGTTGCAATCATTCGAGGCGCGACCACAACAAGTGCGACACACACACCACGTGGGTATCGGCGACGTCAAATTGTGTTCGGGGAGGGGGGGTGTCATGGGTGTGGTCCACGTCAAGATCCCCCACCACATCAAACCACTTGCCGTTTGTATGGCTTCGACCACGCGAACGATTGGAGGGGCGTCAGTCGTCTTTTTCCTCTTCAGTCGACGACAGCGCCAGGAGCAGCAGCAGAAGTAGCAGCAGCAACAGCGGCCATGGAGGACAAGAAGTCGGGTATGTTTGACGTCAATTGGCAGAAAGTGTGGCCCAACCGCATGCCTGTGATCCTGCGGGACTTGGCGCCGACGAACCCGTTCAACCCGCGCAACTTGTGGCCCGAAGAGCCCAAAGACGGCGACGCCGCAACGACTACCGGTGCCGCGCCCGCCAGTGCTGGCGCTACGTCAGCGCCCACGGCGTCCCCGACCGACAAGAAGGCCACTGCAGGCGCGAGCAGCGGCAAAGTGAAGAAGGCCGACCTGATCCGCATGCAATTGGCCAAAGAGAAGGCCCAGAAGCAGAGCAAAGTGGACGAGGAGAAGCTCATGAACATCAAGAAGGCCAAGAACCTGCTCGACATGAAGATGGTGACGCCCACGGGTCGGCTCAAACAGCTCTACGAGATTCTGCGCGACAGCTGCAAGAAAAAAGAGTACACGGACGCTGTCGATACGCTGTGGGAGATCCAGCGCACAAAGCTCGTGGCCACTCGCGCCGCTGATGGCCGCAAGAAGCACGAGAAGCAGAAGAAAATGGACGACGACGAGCACGCCAAGTTGCAGGCGGACTTTAATGCCGTCCACAAGAAGTACCGCAAGTACGTGAAGATTGTCAACGACTACTTGAGCGGCAAGGACTTGATCGAGTGGCAACTCACAGAGATGTCGGACCGTCTGCCGCCGCTGAACATGCACCACATGAACAAGTTTATCCTCGACGATTGGCAACGGACAGTGCTGTCTCACATTGACCAGAACCATTCCGTGATTGTGTGTGCCCCAACGAGTTCGGGCAAGACAGTGCTGTCGTCCTACGTGTCGGTTGTCGGTGGCCGCGTGCTGTTTGTAGTGCCCACGGATCCCCTTGCGTGGCAAGTAGCAGCGCTGTTCCAGGCAATGGTGAAAGGCTCAGTTGCCTTGATTACGGACGGTACGGTGTTTCTGCCGCCTGGGTTCCGTGTTGCGGTCGGAACTCCACGAGCGGTAGAGTCAACGCTCATTGACATCGGCTACGACTTCCAGTACGCTGTGTATGACGAGGTGCACGACTTGAACGGACCGGAGGGTGGCGCGTTGGAGCGTATCATCAAGGCAGTGACGTGTCCGTTCTTGGCGCTGTCTGCTACGATCGGCAATGCTGAGAAGCTAAAGGGCTGGTGGGAGTCGCACCATTCGCGTGAAGTCCACCTTCTCGAGTACAAGGGCCGGTTTATCAATCTGCAGCGAATCATATGGCACGAGGAAGAAGCCAAAGAGGAGGGCGCGAAAAAGAAGCAAGAGATGGTGTACTTGCACCCGTGCGCTGGTGTGACATTGGACTACCTCACTACTATCGGCTTCGATGCCGGTGACCTGGCGTTCACTCCTCGCGACGCGTTTGCCTTGTGGCAAGCAATGGAAAAGTTCTACACTGCTGAGCTGATTGCGGATGTCGATCCACACAAGTTCTTCGAGCTTGAGGATGAAATCGAAGCCGAGGTCGCAGGCCCCGTCGCATCCTCGACCAAGAAGGAGAAGAAGCCAAAGAAAGACAAGAAGTCGAAAAAGGACAAGAAAGAGGTTGGTGCTGACGACGACTATGTCGTTGACCTCGGCAAGCGCACTCACCGCATCACGCTGATGGAGTCGAAGAAATACGAAGATAAGATCAAGAAGCGCTTGGAAGATCTTGCTGTGAAAGAGCCAAAGGCGACCCAGTCGCTCCTTGACTTTTTTGCACCGCCGGCGAGTCTGCAGGACGTTACCGTGGAGCTTCGCGACCCGCGCGACACGGATCCCAGCAATGACGTGGACGTCTACGCGCTTGTGAAACAGCTTTGTGCAAAGAATCTTGTCCCCGCAATTGCTTTTCAGCTTGACTCAGTTCGATGTCGTCAGCTGTTTAATCAGCTTTTGACGTCCATCGAGGCTGCTGAGACTGCAAAGTATCCGAACTTTCGTGAAAAGGTGCAGCTCGAGTACGCCGAGTGGGAGAAGAACCAGGCGTCTATAAAGAAACGTGAAGCCAAGGTGAAGGCGAAGGGAAAAGAGGAAGACGATCGCGAGGCACAGGCGTTCGAAGAGAAGCCGCCTCCGGACATTTACGCGCCTCACCCTGACTTCGTGTTGACGCCTCCTGGCTCCCGTCTCACTGCTACCGAGTTCAACGAAATCAAATGGCAATTGCGTCGCGAACTATCTGAGGACTCTGATGACGGACACGCGCTAGTGCGTTCGCTACGACGTGGTATTGCTATCTACAACCAGAATCTACCTGCAGCATACCTGCGGATCGCACAGACGCTTGCCCAAGGTGGTCGTCTAGCAGTCATGTTCTCGGACGACTCGCTCGCCTACGGTGTAAACATGCCGTTCCGGACGTGCTGCTTCTGCGAAGATACAGCAGACGATGTCTTGACCTCGCTCATGGTGCAGCAAATGGCTGGTCGTGCTGGCCGTCGTGGTCTAGACAGACAGGGTAACATTTTGTTTGCTGGTCTGTCATGGTCCCGCATTCAGTTCTTGATGCGTGGAATGCTGCCGGACGTCACGGGCCGCAAATCGCTCTATCCGACGATTGCTCTGCAAAAGCTGCTCTCGGCCAACGTCACGGGTGAAATCATGCAGCGCATTGTATCACACCCGCTGGGCGAGTACATGACAAAGCAGGAGACCACGTCCCAACCTTCGGAGAAACAGGAGTCGTACTTGACGAAGTCTGTGGAATGGATGACTCACTTTGGCTTGACCAAGCCAGAGTACAGTCTTGCAGTAGATGTGTCTGTGGCAAAGCTTGTATGGGAGTGCCGAGACGATCCGTCGGAGGCGCTGGGGATCTTTTGGATGTTGGAAGCGGTGCTGAAAGAGTTTCACCACAAGCCTGGTGATAACATTGCTCTTCAGCTTTCCCTGTTCAACATGCTGTTGCGTGTCGTTGGTCGTGAAAGGTTCCACCCGGAGTATGCTCATGGATCAGAGCTTGCGCCTCTTCCTGGTCAAGAAGAGGTGTGGGACAAAATGTCGCTTTTGCTGCAGGCGTACGAAGACAAGGTCAATGAGCTGGGCGAGAATATACCGGAAGAATTGCGCCTGCGAGTAGATTTGTCGCATCCTCTTGATGGATACGTGTTCCGCACGGTCGTGGAGAACCTGATTCCTCAGGGTCTTGGCACGTCGCAGCTGAATCAGATCAAGAAACGCCTGCGTCACGTCGGTGACCGTCTTCGTTTGATGCATAACTTGCTCATGTACAGTGGCCGTTATGGCGAACTGGAAGAGATCGTACGCAAGTGTTTCCGCCGCATCAAGTGGATCCTCATCGATTCCGAAGTGTAAGCGGCGAAGAGCAAAGCAGCGTCTGGATCACTCTGTCGGTCGGTGATGTTTCTGGTCTACGGCGTTGGTCAACGACTGCGCTTGCACCTGTGCGAGCAGCTAACGAACAGTGAAAACGCATGGAATGTGCGGACGTTGCACCGTCCGAACCCAAGTCCGAAGACGCTGCATCTCGAAACGCAAGAGCCGATGCAGCGACGACAGCGTTGTGTGGTAGCTCCGGAAGAAGGACAGATTGCTGTCCCGGCGACTGCAACGGGTATAGTCAACGAATCTGTTTGCATTCTTTGTTGCGACTTGTGGTTTCGTTTCTCATGCACTGCGCTAAAGCGTCGGCGCCAGTGTGCAAAAGCGGCCAACCGCCACACAGCACTGACAGAGGAGGAGACAGTAGGCGAACAAGTGCGTGAAGGGAGTGGAGTAGTACAGCAGAGTTTTGATCACGAGTTGCCACGACGTCTGTTCAAGACGTTGTCAACAGGATCCTCCTGTCGAGCGCTTGAGTGTGGCATTCTTCCAGGCGCATCCTCTCTCGGGACACACACTGACTGTGGCAGTGTTGGGCTACCGCTATCCAGACGCCAGCAGTGTGCACAGCAACAGTCGTAGCGGCAGTCGACAATCGTCCGTCAAATCCCATCCGAATATGTCACCTCCTCGCAACGTCTGCATGCCACGACAGTCGTGTGCGCTATCGTCGACACCAACAGATAGATAGAGAGAGAATGGCTGGAAACGACCGAGTGCAGGAGCAGTCCTTGTACCTCAAATCCAGACGAGATACGCCCGACGACCGGACTCCACAAGGCCGTCATCTCTTGACCTCGTCACCCGTCGGCCGTCATCTCTTGACCCCGTCATCCGTCGGCCGTCATCTCTTGACCCCTTCCTCCATCTCCATCGCGTACGTGCGTAAGCGACACGCCCACTGCCCGTTGCCATGCTGCCCATGATCAAACTGGGCGGTCTCGTGGCGCGCACGCTGACGAAACCGCTGGCGCGCGTGGTCAAGACCCGCGCCAAAGTGCACCCGCTCCTTCGCGCCGTCTGCACGCGCTTGGGGCAGCAGCAGCACCGCGTGACGATGCAGCTCCACATGGGCTTCCGCGGCATCTCGAGCTACACGATCAAACCCGTGTCGCCCGACGAGGCCGTCGACCAGGGGGCCGACTTGATCGGCGAGCTCCTGATCTTTGCCGTCGCGCTGGGCGTCGCGTCGCTCGAGTACTCGCGCGCGGCGGCCAGTGCGCGTGCGAAAGAGGCCAAGCAGAAGGAGCAGCAGCAGCGCGAAGAGCGGGCGGTGGAGCTGCGGTTCGCGTCCCTCGAGAGTCACGTGGCGTGGCTCGAAGACCGACTGGTGGCGTTGACGAGTGCGCTCGAGAGCGAGCGGGGGGAGACGCTCGAGCAGCTGCAGGCCCAGCAGACGAGGAGAGAGGCGGCACGAGGTGAGGAGACGCGGCGCGAAACGGCGGGACGGGGGCGAGGGCGACCTGCAGCGACCGAACGAGACGGACAGCGGTCGCTGTCGGTTGCACAGCTCTGGACGAGCACACAGGACGCAGTGACGCGGCTGTTCAAGTGACGCCCCAGGCGGAAACGCAGTGCACGAGGTGGCCAACGGACGTGCCCGCTGCGTATCTACCGGCGTCCCTCTCGTCGTTCAACAGGATGAGCAGTGCGGGCTGGCGGCTCGATAGCTCCCATTCGACGGGTGGACGGGTGGACTAATGGATGGACTAATGGATGGACGTGTGCAAAGCTCTGACGGATCAGTCGTCCAGTGTTGTGGTCGGCACTACTCGATGGGTCGACGTGAGTGCGGTGCCGTTCGTGGCCATGGCGGGTATCGTTCCGCTTGCGAAGAGCTCATTTCTTGCTGCAGGCCAAGCAGATCGTTTCGGTTGGTGTCGGTCTGGAGAGCTGAACGACTGGTGCAAGTCAGGACACGTTGAGAGAACGCTTGACAAGGGCGAAGAGCGGAGGAACATGTCCCCAGTCGCTTGCCAACAGTCGTGGTCCAGTCGATGTCACTTGATGCAGTAGCATGTTACCCCACAATTTAGAGCTAAACCACATGTACAAGCAAAGATGTCTTCTTCGTCTTCTTCGTCTTCGTCTTCGTTGCTCTCCTGCGTCAGTGGAAGACGCTCGAGGAAGAGCCGGTGGGTCTCGCATGCAATTGGGAACGAGGGCGTAGCACGCACGAGCACTGACTGAGCTTCTGTCTTTCCAGTCCGAGACGGGATCCCGTGCCTCCGCGCACGAGAGAGCGACACTGGTACTATCCCAAACACCCGTCACGTCCTCACTTGCGTCGACGGCTTTTTCTGTCGCCGGCGTTGGCGCTCTTCTCCTTGCAAAGTGAAGAAGACTGCCGTCGAGCGGGTCGAGATCGCACGCCCGTTCATTCTTCCGGCTCTTGGAGCTCAGAGCGCGCCCATCCGGTGCGGGCCATGGCCGATCTTCTTTCTCCAAGACAACGGACGACCGGCGGCACCTCATTGTCCGCTGGACCCCAATGGCTGTCCCCTCGCCACGGCATTGTTCGGGCTGAAGCTCCGGTGGTCGATTCAGGATCGCGGATCGCTGCACGGCATTGCATGAGGATGTGCATCGACCGTTGTGAGTGCCACCGCAGCAATCGACCAGCGCTGTCTCGCTCGTTGCGTGCCCCATCGTCGCGTAGTCTCCTCTGAACATGTCCGTTCTCTCCTCTCCATCCGTGACGGCGCGTCAGCTGCGAAGCGATCCAACTGTCGACGACCTCGGGATCGCACAGACCAAAGGCGGGCAAGAGACTGGCGGCGAACAGCTTATCCTCCGATCCCAAACAGCTCTTTGCGCTCTCGAGAAGCGCACCACCTTCTGCAGCTCGCCCAGCGCTACTTCTTCTTCTGCTGCATTTCGAGCAACGACTTGCGCGACTCGATGCAGTGGTCGTGGACCGAAAGCTGCGATCGCAGGTCGCTGTGCGCCTCGCCGTCGGTCCCTCGTCGCCTCGTGCCAAAGGGTTGAAACATGTTCCTGCAGAGCAGCACTGCCACTCCCTCTCCACTCCATCTGCTTTAGCGACTCGAGATCAGGGATTTGCACGCGCGAGGGGGTCGTACCCAGATCAGCCTCTGCGCGTGCGAGTCGGTCCGACCACGAACGTTCCCGCGCGTGAATGTGGGAAGAAGCCGTGTTCGCGCGTCTTGTACAGAACGGATCGCACAGACCGATCGAGTCGCTGTAGAAGTGTCGATCGCACGCTGCAAAGAGGTTCATGCCACCAACACACACTCGACAACAACAACAACAACAACAACAACAACACCAGTACTGACGATTGAGGTCGTGACCGCCGCCGCGTTCTTCGTCTCAAGCAGTGCCAGAAGCTGTGGCCTCTGCTCGGGTATACGAGCGGCGGCCTGTGATTCCCGCACACCGCTCGCTCGCTCGCTCGTTGCCCCACCTTATCAGCTGCAGTTGACCGTGTGCCCAGAGTCGGACTCTGCAGTGAATACATGCAGTGCCTGCCCGACGGTAGCGCGTCCAGCTGACTGAACAAACTTTTCGGTCTGATGCACAGACAGAGCCGCACGCGGAGGCGCTCGACAGTGGGCCATCGATGGCACCGCACGTTGATGGATCTCTCCGATTTTTTCACGCGGGCGAAGCGGTTGCGCCAGTGGCGTGCAAACGGTGTCGAGGATTTGCATCGGCGCGCGCTGCTGCCCCTATGCAGTGGGCGGCTCGACCCGAGTCAAGCGGCGGCTGCACTCGGAGTCGGTCAGCTGCTCCTCCTGCTGATGCGTCTCCTCGGCTTTGTCGACGTGCTTGAAAGCCGGGAAAGCCGGTTCGTTGCCGTCTTCTGCATCTCTTTGGCACACGCGACCACGAAGACGAAGAAGAAGAAGAAGAAGAAGAAGAAGAAGAAGACGAAGACGTTTGCGAGACGTGAAGCCATCGACGACACCTTTCGAGGCAGGTGCACCACTTGTCCCGAGGGAAAAGCGTTAAGCTTTCGGTGCAGCTCAATCGAAAGGCGAAAGCTCGTTCCGCTTTCCGAAATGTCGTCCAGCGCTACGCCTGACGGACTGCCCGCGTGACCGCAAGGGCTTCAGCGGAGCCGGAGCGCTAACCCCATCGTCGCAGCTGGTGCGTTGGTGCGAGTGGATCCACCGCTGACGTTTAAATCGACACAGAGACAGCAGCAGCAATAGCAGCAATAGCAGCAAGCAGGAGGAGCTGTCGACACATGCACACATGCGTCCAGCGGGTGTCAAGGCCAACATTTGTCTCGACAGAAGAAGATGGGGGGAGGGGGGAAGAGAGGAGAGTTCTCGCGGCTCCCTCCATCAACGGATCAATCCACTGATCGCGCACTCCTCAAAGCTCCTCCTGATCTCTCGCGCGTCCGTCGGGTATCCAACCTGCGTTCCGGCTTTCGTCTCGCTCTCTCTCGTTCTTTCTCGCTCGCTCTCTCGCGCTGCTTGACCACCATCGCCGCCGCGTCCTCGGGGTCAGAAATGGGCCACACACACACACACACAGGACCAGCTTTGGCTCTTCACGTCTCGGCGCGTGGCTCACCACTCTGAAGCACACACGCACACGCACACACACACACTTGAAACCTCTCCCTGTCACGCACACGAGGCGATCGACACCCGACAACCAGTCCGTCCTCGTTGCTCTCGTCGCAGCAGTCGCATAGCAGTAGTGGGGTGCAAAGTCGTCAAGCAGTCGCATCGCCGCATTGCAGAGCATGAACTACTTGCACCGGTACGTTCCGCCCATCTACGTGGACCTGAACATGCCCGCGACGCCGTCCAAACCCCTCGACGCCCGGCCACAGCCCCCGACCATGAGCGCCTCCTCCTCCGCCTCTGCTGCTGCTGGGAACAGCGACCCCCGGCCCAGCTGCACCAACTCGCTCTTGCTCGACCTGCTCGAGTTCCCGCTCACGGCGCTCGAGGCGCAGTCGGAGCTGCTCAAGAGCGACTTTGAGCTGCCTGACAACGGCCACGACACGCCGCTCGGGGCGCAGCAGCAGCAGATCTATCCGCTCCCGAACGGCCACGAGCCCGGCCACGACCCGGCGCTGCTCAAGCTCAAGGCGAGTGGGGACCCCGAAGTCCAGGCCGAAGCCGAAGCGTTCCCCGCAGCAGTGTTCAGCAACACGACCATACTGACGTCCCGGGCGTCGACCCGAAGCAGCGTCCGCGCGTCCGTTGCGCCCCCACAGCGCGGGGGCCGCACGTCGCAGTTCTCGGCGAAACAGCGGCGCGAACGGCACAATGCCAACGAACGGCGCCGGACAAACGCCGCCAAAGGCCGTGTACGTGACATGCGCGACGCAGTGGACGCGCTCCTGCGCGAGCGCAGCGACTTGACGGGCCAACGCGATGCGCAGGCGCCGGTGCAGGAGGTGCTGCCCCACCGAAGACGACTGGAGACGGTCGTGCGGCCGAAGAGCGACGCGAAGAGCGACGTCGGCGGTCGGATTCCAGGCAGCTCGACGTACTTGGACCTGGTCCAGGCGGTCGACGACCTCCGCAACGAGAAGCGCTACCTCGAAGAGCAACTCGACCAACTCGACTCGCAAAACAGTGCGCTGCAGGCCGTGCAGACAGAGCTACTGATCGACGGCGCCGTGGCTTTGACCAGTGGGGACGTCGTCACCAAGAGCCGCAAGCGCAAGCGCGAGGACGTTGCGGCGGCGGAGGGGGAGAGTCCGTTCGCGGCTTGTAAAAAGCAGAGCAAGATCGACATTTTCGCGGGCGGGTACTGCATGGAGACGGAAGCTGTGCCGTCGTTCCTCAAGGTGCTCTTTCCCAAGCCCATGACGTCCGACGCCGCTTTCAACTGGGTCAAAGACAGCTACAGCGACATTATGCAGCTCAAGGCCCAGCAGAAACGCACAAAAGCGGCCGCGTCTTCGGTCCTCGGCTGGCGCGAAGACAAGCGACAAGTGACGAAGCAAACAGGACGGGACAGCGGCCATTGCCTCGAGCTCATGCTGACGAAGGACCTGCCGGGCATTGTCTCGGGCGAGCTCGTGTTCAACACGTGGAAACTGCTGACGACGTTGGAAGGCTTTCGACAGCTCTTTCCATTGACCAAAGACTTGGCTGTGCTCCAGACGATCAACGACGACTGTGTGGTTGTCCGCGTGGGCGTCGCACCTGCACACGACGCTCCGGTTGTCCACAGCATTGTCGTGCTGGCCCGTGGCCAGATTGACGGTGGCTACCTCGTGAGCATGCGGTCCGTGCCCTTGTCAGTGGGGCAGACAGCGTTCGCAGCGCAGGAGACGAGTTACTTGCCGGTGCTCGCGTGGTTCATGCTGCTCGACAAGTTTGACGAGTTTGCGCAGCCCGTGTGCGAAGTGATTGTCGGCACGTCGACGCAGCATCAGGTGGAGCGTGTGTTGCACGGGTTCGCGACGGAATTCGTGGCTGGGGTCGTGCGTTGGCAGGACGCTGTCGGTCAACTGGAGCAGTGGCAGTTTGAATAATGCCCGACCGGTTGGCTCAGTGGGTAGTTGTTGGGTAGTTGTTGGGTAGTTGATGGAGTTGATGGAGTGGGGTAGTCGGTTGAGCATATTTAAGTTGTAGGGAGTAGTCGTTAGGTGGTGTTGTCGCGCAGGTCCGAATCAATGAACAAAATCGTGCATGACGTGAAGCCGTATTCCGTGTACATGAATGTGTCTCCGTCTGTGTGACTTATCGGTCTCTGTCTGTCTGTCTCTGTCTGTCGGTTAGTCACTCACTTGTCGCAACGAGTCGTTTCGCTTGCGAGCGAGCGAGCACGCGAGACAGGTGCTGGGCAAGTGGCGCTTGACCCGTTGGCAGCCAGTTGCAACGACCTGCGGCTGCCGACGGCACAAGTGCGTACATACAGTGCACGCAGTCGCTTCATCCGCAGGTTCGGCCACTGAGTTTACTTCAATTCCAACAGACGTAACAAAGCTGTCGGCCGTGTCCTCGCCCATCCGTACTCGGGACGGTATGGGCCACAATCAGGTAGGCAGACAACCCCACACAAAGCGCACAACCGCAAGCACCATCGAGGGCCAACAAGGTCCTTCAATGTGTCCCGCCTCGATCGTGCTTGCTGACATGTTGCCCTTCGCGATCACTTGACAGACGCTATCGTCTGCTCCACTGGCGTCGCTCCGTTTACCATTGCAGTAGCCCCCACGATCCAATCCCTCGGTTTTCCATGCGCAGGGCCATCTCCAGTATCTCAATCGACCACCATCCCGTGCTCGCGAGCGTCGTGCCTTCGATTTCGCCCCCAAACGTTTGCTTGCAGTCTTCGAGATTGTCCCCCGCGTACTCGTAGAAGCTCCACACAAACACATCGAGCCAGAAGTTCTCCATGTGCGGCTCGACTTTCCGACGGCCGCGGCGAACGGGCGCTGTCGTGCAGTCGCCGTCTTGCTGGAGGTACAGTTTCGGGTCGAGGCTGCGCAGAATGACCATACAGCCTTTCGGGCCAAGGTCGACACGCATGGCCAAGATGAAGGCCCGAATCCGAATGTCCGTGTCCTCGCGCTCGAGCGTGTAGTAGTAAATAACCGCGTCGTCATGCAGTCGCTGGACAACGTGGAAATGCACTCGTGCATCCCGTGGACGCATAATGACAATGGGCTCTGGCAACGACAAAATGTCCCAGAGGTTGCGCGCCATCATGGCCGTCGCCCGTCCGTGAAACGTCTTCTCGAGCGAAAACATGAGCTTGTTCTGCCGCAGCACGTGGCGGTCTCGCCAGCCCAGTACGCTCGTGCCCGTGGAAAAGCACGTGTCGCTCTCCCGAAACGCCTGGATCTCCTGGTACGACCGCCGAGCAATGTCTGCGCACTGGGCTTCCGACAGCGGGTGCACCTTGAGCTCGGGATGCTGCCGCTTGTACGCCTGCGCTTGCTCCATCAGCAGCTGACTCTTCTTCTGCGCAGCTGCAAACTGCTCAATCTGCTGCTCGCGTGCCATATTCGCCGCGTGGAGCCGCTGGAGCTCCTCGTTCTCCTGGACCAGCGCGTGCTTCAGCTGCGCCAACTGCACGTACGCGCGATGGACGGCGCTCTTCGAATCACGAGCTGCTGCTGCCTGAGGGGTCGGGTGGGCGTCTCGCTCGTGGTGGCACGCGAGCAGACGGCTGTACTCGCTCTCCAGGGCGTCGACATTTCGCTGGAGCTCGTCGAGGAGGGTCTAAGCAGCGCACGACAGCAGTAATCCACCCAGCAGCAGCACACAATATCCCACAGGATAACAGTGTCCACAATGTGGCAATACGAGGCAGTTAGTTACCAGTCGTCACCATAGCGACCGTCAAACACACGAATATACAAGATACGAAAGCCGCGTGCGACAGGGTAGAGACAAAGTACAGGATAAGTCCACGAATACAAACACACACACACACACAGCAGCCGCCGCCGCAGCAGAACGCGGCGAGACCCACAGGCATCAGAATCAGACCAACAACACCAATCACAATAAGAAGAGTCAGAATGGTCAGAACAGTCACAATAACTCGTCGCCTCATCAGTAGTATTGTCGTCGTCGCAACGAGCGCCCGACGACGCAGCTGTCTCGTACGCGCTTTTGATGGTACAGTCGCTTCGCCCGATTGCGGCTCTTCGAGCGCTGGTCAGTGGCCGCGAGCGCGTTCTCAAGGTCGGGCGCCCAGTCGCTGGGCCCGTACGGGAACGCCATTGTGCAAATGGTGTGGATCTGAGTCGCTTCTGAGGCGACCGGCGTTTGGATACTGCAGACGGGACACGTGCAGCGGAGGAATAAGTCCCGCGAATCGCTTGACCCCGTTCTCCTTCTTCTCCCCTGTCGACTGTCGCATGTCGAGTAATCCAAGTGACGCACTCACCCATTCACCCAAAAAGTGGCTGTCGAACACACAGAGATGAGCAACACCAGCAGCAAATAGAGTAAATACAGCAACAAATACAGCTCGAGGCGCTATTTGCATGTGTTTACGTATGCATTGATACACAGTGCTCTCTCCGGTCTGTTTGGTTGAGCGCTATTCGAAACGAAGCGTCGCGGCAATTAGAGCGCTTTATTTCGACCACGTCCGCGTTTGGCGTCTCTCGCCTATGCGGTGCCTACATCACGCAGTCATGCAGACGTTGCCTGTGAGATCTTATTCAGAGCCTATTCGGTAGCGGACTGTCGTCCACCCGCCGATAAGCAAACTGCCCTAACAGAGCTGTTACAGACTTCTATTCCTGTGACTCGGCGTCGGTTACGAAAGTGCGTATAAGAAGCGTCGAAAACTGAAGTCCACGGCAAGTGGAACCACAGTGTACTTCCGGTGGCGACAAAAGCATTGGCATCTCCACATCTATGGGGCAGAACGATATGCGCATTGCAATGCTGTAATCTGTCGGAACGGGATGAGCGATAGTACATGTGGTGAACAAGTCGGACTGATGAGCGCATGGAATATCGCCACGAAACTATACTTGCGCAATGTGATGCGATTCTGGAAAAGGCACCGGTCACACACCTGGAAGACGTAATCTACAGAGCAGTCGCTGGCTCTGCGCCTTCGTCATGTTGAGATTGGATGAGCGTAGTGGGGTTTAACGGACGCGGCTGTGAGCATTTGTAGGTCATCGTAGTCGACGAACGATGTCGATGCACCTGAGATGACAGACGCACTGCACGTTGTGTATGACGTGGACGATGGATTGGTAGGACGGCGAGCAATAGACTGGCAAAAGAATCGAATTATCATATTACCTACAGATAGCGATGGCGTAATGGACGCTGTTGGGGTACCGTCAATGACGGGAAAGAGATAGACGGCGCCATACACACAGCTTTGATGACACAACTACAAACGTTTGACGTCGACAAATGGCGAAGGAACGCGTTGCCAACACCGCCGACCTCAGCCACACCACTCTAAAAGCCGTACCGCTATGATCAGAAGTTGCGGAGTAATTGACATTCGTGTCCTTCATTACCGGTGATCGTTGGTGAGGTACGATCAATGTTTATGCGAGCGTCATCACTAGGGCTTCTGCTGCTTGCAATACACGCACACAAACTATTGTTAGCACGAGCCTCGCGATGCATCTACATTCCTTTGTGTACAGTATCGTGTTGGATGACCGCATGATGCGTCCCTGTCATTGTGCGAAAGAATTGCTGCTCTATTCTTTGCAACTGCGAAAACAAGAGATGCAAAAGGCGGGAGGGGGCCATTCGCCGAGCATCTCGTCCACAACGAGGAGAGCATGTTGCCCGAGCGGATAGAAAGATCGCAAAACGTTTGGTGATGACCGCAGTGGAGCTGACGAAGCACTTGCTATCGTAATGCACCGTACTTTGTTGATTTGTGATTGATCAACACAAGCGAATACGACTGTGCTTTCTGCTATACTACGGCAAGCGAGTAGCGCAAGTGAATCACAAATTTAGCCGACTCTCTGGTAGTATCCATCAAGAGATTTGACTACTGTCGTCGCGGCGAAACACGCGAGAATGTACACATCACTAAGGTGATATGTATGATGCGTTCATGGGTATACGATCAGGAACCTTCGCAAGTTTGCCGCGGGCCAGACGTACGCGACATGCGACAAGACCATACACAGTTCGCATTGCGATCAGATGGATGGGCTGCGGGGCCAAATTCGGTACGGTACAGCTACACGCTGCTCTGCGAGTACTTGGATTAGCAAGCAGCTAGCCATCACATCCCAGCGCGAAGCATGAACGTGGCTTGTTTGTACAAACTTCTCCCTACCATGCGATCGCCCGGGACAAGACCTTACAAAAACATGATGGATATAAGTTGGTCGTCGTTCTTGACTGGGAGTTGCTTACACTTCATCGCGTTGATCTGTTCATCCAGATCGGTAAGCATTCCGGTGCATCATACAATCCACTTATACGGCAGTCCGAAGTGTTCTGGAGGTATGCGAATCATTCGCTTGGCTTACCTCCACGAGCACAATTGATTGACAGCATCGCACGCTTAGGCCATTGACTCCAACTCCTTGCGAGTACAGGATAAGTCGAGACTTGTGTGGAAACGCTGCGTACATTGCGGAATACTTGGGCTCTTGTCAATCACATGTCGGACATCGCAAGGCAAGTAGCCAAAAAAGCAGAATCAGTCACGCGACTTCCTTGGCCTCAGGACTGCTGCCTTGATGCCCACAAGCTGGAACGCAAACGGCTTTGTTTGGGAATGCCACACCGCGTGTGTCCAATGCTACTTGATCAAACTTCCACGCAACTCAGAAAGAAGGGGATGCGCAAGCTTGTCAACATGCGTACATCCATTCTGTACAGACGTTTGCATGATTGAAGCAGCGTCGTCCGATCCGATCGTGCCCCATCGTGGCCTTGCCAAAACTTGCACAAAGTGCTATTGCTGCGCGCATGGTTTATCTCACTCCTGACCTAACGATTGGGTCAATGAGGCGCGAAGAAAGATTGACACGGTAAGCAGATAAGAGGGACGATATGGCAGGGACGATGCAAGGTATAACCATTACTTTATTTTGAGAAACATACTATCATCGAGCGCACGAGTCGTATTCATGACAAGGGATACAGCGGATTACGCAGTGAACTTTTGACGGTACGTGCAGCAGTTACTTCGGCGAGCTTGCGGTCGATAAACGTGCAGACTCGCTTGTCGCAACCGAATCTTTGCTCAGGTGAAAATGCTGCTAGCGAATGTGTCGTCTTCGCACGGAAACGCGCAAAGACTCTCCAAGCCGACTTCACAAGATCGTGATACCGTCATGGATGACAATGGGGAGCGGCAAGACTGGGAAGAGCAATGCGTGGGACAAGCGCTGTTCCAAACGACTTACGCAGATTGACGTTCAGGATGCCGACCATTTTCTGGTATGCATACGTGAAGTGCGTACTAGATGGCCGGTCACGTAGCTATAGCTGCCGAAGATGGCAAGGAATGCGAGATGCGATACATCGTGGAAAAGCTGCACGGTATGACTGGAGCGCGTGGAGTAGTACGGAGCGCCATCGAGTATTCGTGCACCTTGTCAACACGTGCTTGCTGACACATTGGGGAGCTAGCTAATCGACAATATCCATCTACGCGTGGATAGCGAGCGGAATCTGCTCGTGTGTTTCGAAGCCACAAAGCAGGAGGAGTGAGCTCTTCGCTGGATGAGCCTTCTGACGGCAGAAAAAGAAGAAGTGAAGCCTGGAATCGGCGCTGCCATGCGTATGGACATACCTTGGACAGGACTCTGAACACAGGTTAGACGATGCGTCTGTACTTCCAAATTCTCAGCGTACAACAAACGTAAGGACTATGTCGACAAGTTTGTAGATGTTTCCTGCCAACGACAAACGAAGATCGATCGCAAACCGTTTGCATGGCACGCAAAACCTGTGCGTGCTGTGTTCGTGCGTGCCGATATACTTCATGAGTGTGTACATCGACAGGAACGTGATGGCGGCTTCAAACGACTAGTCGAAGGTCACGCGCCGGCTTGCCTTCAATATCACACGTCCGAGATGTGAGTATGACACAAGGCGTTTGCAATACACGCTGACATTACGCGTCTGCGATTGCAAGCAAGACCAACGTCTTGACTGAATACGAGGGGGTATAACCCGGCATGAAGATCGAATGTATCGATCACAAGATCAAGAAAGGTGCCATGTATCTCAAACAGCAAAACCACATGCCACAAAGCTCCAAGGTATATAACGGTGTACCAAAGATGAATTCTGTACATCCCTTCATCGATACACTCGTTCGTTGGGCCACTTACTTGCGTGACGACAGGCTCTACTTGTGTTATGTGCATCGAGGCCACACCGGTCAGTCTTTGGGTTTTCACGATACTCTTGCCATTTTTTGGCAGCAACACCACAATATCGAACTCTTTACTCTTATTCGAGATCCTGGGTCCCTTCTGTGTTCTCTGATCGCTTCTTGCGTGATGTGTGATAACATTCGTAGCTTTTACAAGTTTGCTTACACTGCCTTCGACTCTGGTGCTTTGTGTTTTTACGCCTTGGCGCAACGACTCATTGCAAACTTCATCAACAATTCATCGCTTTTCTCTATAGATTATTAATCCTTAGCTCTCCCAAGACCACGATTCACTATCTTGTTTTTGCTTTTGCTGAAGCGGCGCTTCACATCCGCGTAAACGTCATTTATCAAGCGGCACGTTATGCATTGCAACGTTGGCAGCTTTGTCGCATGTGAATCTATCTCGAGAAAAGAGAAGAGTCGTGACGGCAATGTATGCAAACAAATCTTTAGTTATTTGACCGAGCTGTTTCACGCTATTTCAATCGCTTCAGCGATACCGACGCCTGGCTTACACTCTTGGCGTGGCGCCGTCGGAATTGTTGCTGGCCGTTACCAACTATGTCGCTGACAAGAGACTTCCGATCGAGCGATGAATCATCCCGCGATGAACCAAACTGATTTTTCCGCTTCACACGCAAGGCTCCAGTAGACATCGTGCGCGCTGGTGCATTCCGGTCGGTGTCGTTCACGCACTGCTTATGAGTTTCCATACGCCAGAACCATTCCCGAAGGTCAGCACGCTCCTTGCACTTGGAAACGCATCGGAATAAAAGCCGAAGCATGTAGAATGAAATGATGAATCCAGATAGAACAATGGCACAAAGAATGCCTGCTTTCATGGTCGTGATGACCTTATGCACGATCAGCATTTCTTTCTGTGCAATACATACAGTACAACAACTCCGTGAGTAAAGCAGCGGTGTGCTTGTTCAGCCAGAGCCTGTACACAGATTTGTGCACTTACCCATAGGGCACTATTGTCTCGCCGGGCATCATCAAGCAATCGACCATAGATCAACAGAGTTTGTTCGTTCTCCAACAGCTGTTTCGCGACATGGTCATTCTGCAAACACCATTTCAGTTAGGTGTGCGTGTACAACGTGCATGGGAATGTCCGAACCTACCAAAGCCGCGATTGACGTGCGGATCTCTTTCAACTGATCGTTCAACGTTTCTTGATTCGACTGCAACATACACACGTGACACCACAAGACAGTACGTTAGCAGGCTTCTACATTGGACAGGCAGAGCATGAGGGTCATACCTGCAGCATTTTTATAGCAGCCCACTGATTCGTGTGCAGGTCCTCCAATTGCTTCCCCATGACACTTTGGTTTGCTTCCAACGCTTGGACTGCCACACAAAGCATGAACGCACAATCAGATACCTGGACACGGACATAGTCACCGCAGCAGCAAGCACCATTTGCCGCCCTTACTCTTCTTGGTGATACGCACGAAAATGTTCTCTAGACGGCCGAGACTTTGAGTAGATGACACCACAGAGTTGTGAGTGGCGGGCAGCAACGAAGATGGCGCTGCTACACCACTTGATGTGGTGGCGTTAGTATCAGAGTCCTGAGTCGTCGAGGCATTCGGCACGTTTGTGCCCGCATCAGGATCAGCAACGTGAACAGCTTCCTCCACGACGTCGGAATCAGTGGCGTCGTGGCTCACGGTAAACGGATGCTCGTCGGTGTTCAAACTTGCTGCAGCTTCGACTTCCATCTGTTGTGGAGTGTAGTCGACGAGGCAGCACATTCCATGGCTTCGGTAGTGCTCCATCTGCTGAGGCTCGTCGTAGAAAACAGCAACCACACTATTATTCTTCTCCATCAAACACTGGCTCACGAGCTCCATCGGGTCTGCGATACGAGGCACGTTGACTTCAACACTGTCAGGCAAAGCACGCAGTCCCGGTGCCGCGCTTGGCCCGTGCGCATCCAAAGCTTCAACTTCTGCATCGATGCTCCTTTCCAGCTCAGAGATTACTTGCGTAAAAGTCCGACCGAACACTCTACAGTAGCACAAGCAACAGCACAAGCAGCAGGGTGAGGCAGCGTCGATTAGTACTCGTCACGTGTCAAAAAAGAGGCAGTGACACGCACCGCAACTGGCTTAGCGTGCAGTAGTACTCCGACCCATAATGCGATAGGATGCGAAACTTGATATACCGCACATGCTGCTGGGCTTCAAGCTGAAAGATCTGCTCCCCATTCACATGTTCAGCTGTAAAGTTGCCCAGAACGAGCCACGTATCAGTCGGGTAGTTGACGCTGCCCAGCACGATAAACTCCTTCACGGGCGACGAGAACTTCTCATAATTGGCAACTGCGATAGCGTCTGCGTGCACCTGCAGCAGCAACATATACAGCCCATGGGGAAAACGACACCATACAATGAGTACTACGATCATCGCCCAACATCTCCTCTGTCGTTTTTCTTCTGCTTCTCTAGCCTCACTCACATCCTCGGAAAGGCTAATGACGACCCATTTGCGGGGATTCGAGCACGGCGTCAGCATGTACCGATCCTTGTCGGGAACCAACAGGTTCGTAGGGCTCTTGGTATCTGGGGCAGCGTCCAGAATCGTCGCACCAGCGTCCAACGACGCGTAATTCTGGCGCGTGTGCGTGTCGACGCTGTCGGCATCCACAACTTCAAAGAGACCGCTGGGAACGTCAAGTACGTGGTCCACGTCTTCGTCTGCAACTTTCGTGTCTGCTTTGGGCTCGTCTGGCTCAGTGATTTGCTGGATACGGGACAACTCCTTCGTCTCGGACTGTGCAACAGACTGCACGTCCGTTGTCGCCTCTTGTTGCGTCGCTGGTGCGTCCCGAGACCCCACTGAGTCGCGTGGCAGATGATCCAGATCGTCATCTGCCTCACCATTAGGTACGTCATGAGGTCCTGTGTTGCTATATCCGCTGCAGAGCGCTGCAAGCGCGAGAAGCATTAGCAGTCTGGGCTTGGACGAGCGCATGATGGAAAATGAGAACAACGGAGCGTGGCGATTGGATGAAATAGAACCCCGTAGGGTACTGTTTCTGTAGAATCAGCTGACCTTAGTAGGGTACTGTTTCTGCAGAATCAGCTGGCGCGACGGGTCCATTTTCTGGTCCAGAAACAAGGGACTTCTAACGGACTGTAACAATTGAGAGGGAGTAGGGCTACTGAAGTAGGCCAAGTGCCGCGTGCTGTCCTGCCGCCTGCTGCACATCGTGGCAAGCACTGACTCGTGACGGTCTTCCGATTGGCTGAAACGTCGACGGGTAGAGACACTGCTCGATGATGGAGACCACTGTCTGTTGAATCAGAGACAGTGCGTAGGGGTAAACAGGGGAGATCAGAAATGGGTACGGCTTCGTCTACGTTTATGGTCCAGTAGCATCAGTCGCATCGAAACATGTCGTCATCTAACGCTCGATCGAACAAGGGCCACTGGCAACGGCAAACATTGCTATAGAGATTGACACGATAAGGACCGAACGTATCGATAGCGTCGATGAAACTTGCGGCGCTTTCTCGGACAGTATGAACGTCGCTCGGCAGTTTGCACATTTGCAATAGCAGGAGCATAAACAGCTGGTAGTCCGGACGAACTCCAAGTTCTGGAGTGCCGTCTTGCGTACGAAGGCTACACAAGACTAAAGGATGGCACGGACCGCCGAGCGTTTCGTCCGGTAGCAAACACCGAATGGGATGGTCACCTTGCCAAACCTCCATATGCCGCATCCCTGTCAGGTTATCGGGATAGCTTTGTCACATCACGTCGCATTACAACCGCCAAAGTCGACCCAATCGCACTGCTTGTGGCTAGACTGCTTACGTAGTGGAGCAACAGGTTCGGTTCGCACTATGTGTATGCAATAGTTGGATCGCGCGCGGTACAAACGGGCTGAACGATGATCGAGATACAAGCGTGATGGTGATATCCTCATACCATCACGATCAGCGCAACATCAGGTGTGATACCTGTTGTAACGGGGTTACACGTCGGCTGGTAGCCGACGATAGGTGTGGTGCACACACGAGAGGAGGGTATCCTATAAGGTAATATTAGAACACAGTGAGCGTATCAATTGTTGAAGACTGGTGTCTGTCATCAATTGATTGCAAGATCTTTTAAGAGGTTATTTAGGGCAGGTTAAATACGTTGTTCTAAGGTGTTCTTTTAGGTTAAATGAAGAAATAAAATTCAGTTCCCATTTTGATCAACATAAGACACGTGCCTTTCAGGCGTCTTTGATCGGGAGGACAGAAGCAACGCCTGTAAAGGTAGCTTGTCCTCGAGCACTCTGTGCTGTGATTCATTTGAATCGTTTGGTCCCTCAGGAACGGGGACCGTAAGCTCTCTGAGCTGTTGACTCTCTGAGTCGGGTTCTCTGAACCACCCTTTAAGCTCTCTGAGCTGTTGACTCTCTGAGTCGGGTTCTCTGAACCAACCTTTAAGCTCTCTGAGCTGTTGACTCTCTGAGTCGGGTTCTTTGAACCAAAGTTGCACATTGAGCGTAAAGTCTTCCTCTGAATTAAGGAGCTGTGTAGCTCCGCTACACTTGGTAGCACTTGTAGTCAATCTACACCTGAGTCGGTAACGACTGATCCTCTGCGAGGATGGAGCAATCCACACCCCTCTCTGAGGCTCAAAAGGTCGCGCTTGATAAGCTGACTGCGGCCGTAGGCCTAGAGTATGTGGAGTTTCTAGCTGCACAAGCACCCGATGTGCTCAACGCACGAGTAGAGACCTTTATGCAGTATGAAACGGCCCTGTTGGGCCAGGTTCAAAACCAAGTAGCGTCGGCTATGCCGACACGCTACGTGGCTATGCCACCAGAAGAGGCTAAGCCTCGTCCCCTCCGGGTGGACGTTAAACATTACTCCGGGAAGGAGGGGGAAAACTTGACCCTCTGGATCCGTGAGATTGAGATGGCCATGGACTCTGGTCTCATCTCACTAGAGAACCAGCGGGTCTCTTTGGCCATCTCTAAGCTCGATGGTAGAGCAAGAGAGTGGGCTTTGACGTGTGGCACGTCGGTCAATTTGGCATTTCCCACGTGGGAATCGCTCAAGTTAAACCTATCGCGAGTTTTCTCGCCGCCTAACCAGGCATATCGCGTGCGATCACGCTTCTTATCAACCCGTCAGGGTAAGAGCGAGTTAACGGACTATGTCCAAGAGTTGAGAACTCTAATGGCTGCTATGCAGTCTGACCCTCTCCCTGAGACTGTCTACGTGACAGTCTTCATGGAAGGTCTCCGCACTGGCGTGGCCAGAACCGAGGTTTTTCGGGTTCATCCCTCTACTTTTGAGGAAGCTGTGAGCGTCGCTCAAAATGATGAGCACAACTTCAAGTCGTCCAGACTTGGTTGGAATGGGTACAACCCAAGCTTTGCGAGGGCGGCCTCTGCGAGGACTTCGGCTTACTGTAAGCCAGAACCGATGGATCTCAGCCATGCTGAAGATGAAGGCGAAGCTGAGCTTCATGTTGCGGAGCAACGACAGGATGTGAGACGCTGTTACATGTGCGGAAGCACTAAACACTTGCGTCCCACTTGTCCCTTGCGTAAGCAACAACCGACTCCTATGAGTTGAAACCCCAGCCTCAACCAGAAACCTGGTATGGCACGGGGAAACGTCGACACCCAGTAGGCGCGGGGCGCCCTACTGGGGTAGAACTAAGTTCTGTCACATCTCTACGAGATAAAGTGAAACAGGGCTTAGCCCCACTTAGCGCTGTGCCAGCCAGCACAGAGCGTGGATACAAGCCTGGCTTGTTAGTCGCCGAGGCGACAGTAAAAGGCTTTGAGAAGCCGTGGTCGATTTTAATCGATTCAGTAGCATCATGTAACTATGCTCGACGTCGTTCCCTTGAGGGAAGTCAGCGATACGCTGAGGCGCTCAAAGCGCACGAAGGTGATTCGATCACCGTTCGTTTAGCGACTGGTAGTCGCGTCACGGTGCCTAAAGTTCCGTTGAACATAGGTGTGAAGTTTTTGGACTTTGACAGCATTGAACGTTGTCTCGTCCTCGATTTGGATTCGAGATATGATCTCATCCTGGGTATGGCTTGGCTTGAACGCCATGAGCCATGGATTGATTGGAGGTCTAAGACCTTAGGCGCAACGCGCAATGTTCCTAGCGAAGCTTTGGAGAGTCATGAACCCACCTTTGCTAGGCAACAAAAGCGCTATTGGCGCGAGCCATTGACGGAAGATGTCAATGTGCTGGACATTGGTATGTCAGAGTTATTTAACTCGAATGTCGATGACATAAATATTGAGCGGAGCTCTTCTAACGCGTTTGGAGAGAGTTATACTCCGTTGAGTGATACTCGTTGTGATACTGAGTCACTGCATGCGTCAAGCATGGTTGGCCTAGGGCCGAAACATCAAGAATGTAATTCCTCTGATGTAAGTGCGGTGGCACGTGAAAATACACAGAGTGAGGACGGCCGAGGTGGCACCTCACTGAATGTCGGTAATGACATTGATGGCGAGAAGCCAGAGTGTTCAGGGCTAGGCCCTAATGCTATAAGTGCGGTGGCACGTGAAATTACACAGAGTGAGGGCGGCCGAGGTGGCACCTCACTGAATGTCGGTAATGACATTGTTGGCGAGAAGCCAGAGTGTTTAGGGCTAGGCCCGAATAATGTACGTGAAGTGGTACGTGTAAATCCACTGGGTGAAGTGTTCGAGTTACGTAACACTTCACCAGATGTCGCTCAAGACATGAGATCTCGTATAGAGCGTGCTAAGATGAATAGCAACCACGGGGACTTTGCTGTCTCGGCCTCTAAGAGGCGTAAGGTTTCTTTGAGGAAACAATCGAAGCGTAGGGTGGTGACTGTTAAGCGCCCAACGTTTAAGAAGTCACGAAGTGATAATAGTAATAATACACTGTATACACTTGTCAATGGATTGACTGGCCAGATCGATGGCAATATTAGTCTTGAGACTCTTCCATCCGTGGATAAAATCTTTGAGCTAGACGAGATGTCTGACGGCGAATTTAGCCAAGCCTTGCAGGCAGGAGAATTCTCCGAGTTAGTGGTCATTCGGACTGATATTGAGTTGAACTCATCCTCGTTATTGGACGAGTCTGTCCTTGAGAACACAAAGGCGGCATTGGATGCCCGTAGTGGATCCTCGATCCTTAAGGATCCTCTTGATCCGTTTTATCCTTTGGTAAAGGAATTTCAAGACGTGGTGTGTCACGACCCACCGTCTGTATTACCTCCTGATAGAGTGGTGCGTCATGAAATTGACTTGGTTCCTGGAACTAAATACTGCGTAACACGGCAGTGGCCTTTGCCCAAGGAACAGTGTGACGTCATAGACGACTTCTTTCGTGCAAAGCGCGCGGCGGGGATGGTTCGTGAGAGCAAATCTCCCCATTCCACACCGACCTTCTGTGTCAAAAAGCCCAACGGGAAGTGGCGCATTGTTCATGCTTACAAAAAGCTTAATGTGGCCACCATCCCGGCTCAGACACCAATTCCGAGGAAGGATGTTCTTCAGAACAATATGGTGGGATGTACAATGTACAGTGCGCTCGACTTAGACGATGGTTATTACCAGCTTCTCATGCGAGAAAGCGATATTCCGCTGACAGCGGTCAGCACTCCAAGCGGTATGCTCTGGGAGTGGCTCGTTATGCCGCAAGGGCTATCAAATGCCCCGGCTACATTCAACCGTCTTGTGACACAATTGTTTAGACCTCACAGAGGTTATGCACAGACGTAATTTGATGACATCTTTGTCCATAGTCGTGCTATGAACGGTCGGTCAGATGTGGATAATCACATTGACCATTTACGAGCGGTGCTCGAGTGCATGCGCACGAATAAGTTGTACGCCAACGCGTCTAAGTGCATTTTTGGTGCAGAAGAGATTCCCTTTTTAGGGTGCTTTATTGGTAGGCAAGGCCTTAGAGCGGATCCCGCCAAGGTAAAAGCCATAGTTGATTGGCCGGTTCCAAAGAACC